TGCAGGGATTAATTGTTTTGATTCTGAGAATCAACATGGATGTCTCTAAAGAGGATTTGTCAATTCCATTGCACAGGAAACAATTTCCAGTTGCCTTGGCCTTTGCTACAACAATCATTAAGTCTCAAGATCAATCAGTCAAGCATGTTGGATTGGACCTTCAATCAGGTTTTTTTGCACATGGCCAACTTTATGTTGCACTTTCTCAATATGCATTAGGAGATTGTATCAAACTTATTTTGGCACCTGATGCTGGCAGGATGATATAACATCCCCTGTCATGACAGGTTCAGCCTGATATAACCACAGTTGTAATTACAGCACTGCTTGTTATATCAATCACATGTGATCATTGTCAAATGTTGAACTGGACAAAAAGAAATCAACCAAAGAGAATTGAACCAACAACCTTGTGGCTGACAGACATAACTGGAAGAAAGACACAATACAACCATTGAACTAACAGGCTCAGTACAACACATTAGGGCCTATGTACCCATGGGACCTGCCTGTTGAGTGCATGGTTAGCTTGGTTAGAGTTCAGTTAGAGTTCCAGTTAGGTAGTTAGTGGTTTAGTTAGGTTCTGTTAAGGTTCTGTTAAGGTTTTGTTAACATGCTTAGAGTTCCAGGGATATTTTGAAGGGGAGCTTGCTCCCCTTATCACAACAAGTTTGTATTGTAATTAAGGCTCCATGGTCAACTGGTTATGGTTGTATCAATGGTTGTTTTTGGGATCGTGGGCACAGGTTCAATTCTCCCAATTGGCAAAATATTTGACTGAAAATTGCCATTCACATGATACTGTAGTTACAACACTGTTTATATTATGACTATGCTGTAATTACAGGCTGTTGTTATAATAAATGGATGGTATAGCCTGATTTTGGACCCAGAAAGCATATCAAGAAAGCCTGCAGATATTGTTAGAAGAAATCCTCTCAATGGTTTACAAATGTAAGTGTGACTTTCAATGGATTCAAACAACAAATTGCTACTTTATGAACTTCAGCACCTAATATATATAGCCTGACAGTGTGGTATAGATATTCTGAATAGTTTACAAATGTAAGTGTGACAGTTTAAATATTTACTTGGTTAATACTCACTTTGATAATTCTTAGCATCTCTAATATATACCAGTGGACATTGTAGTTTTTTGTTGATCATGTAATATAGATACATGATTGGTTTATATATAAATATCAGCATTGGATTGTAAAAGAAAAGCAACAGTTAGTGAACAAAATATAAAGACCTAACCAAACAAGACCTAACCAAGCAAAGTGAGGTTGGGTCTGGATCTTAGCATTGAATTAACAAATCCAAAGACCTAATCAAATGAAGTGAGGTTGGGTCTGAGACTTAGCAAGAGCAGCACGGGCCTGTAGCTCGTGTAACAAGAACCGAAAACAATCAGAAGTTGTCAACATTGCTTAGTCATCATTTTATGACCGTGTTGATACAGCACACTTGCCATGCATCTTATCAATAATCCCCTCTATAAATGCTCCTTGGAAGAATCCGACCCAGCTCTGTGGTCTCCAAGCGACGTTAAAGCCCTTGTGACTCCTGGACCTGCTTCTTATCACTCCCCACGAGGACGTGTTCCAGTCTTCCCTGATCGTCGCCCAGTAGAGTGGTGGTTGGAAACGCTCCAGATTATGGATCGTCACACACACAGCGAAGAAGCTATGTTCTCGAATATATTTGACCTGATCGAGTATGCTGCGCAACACGTCGGCGTTGACAGACAAATTTCTGTTGACAATGATGGCTCTCCCGAGATCGAGGTCAACGGCGAAAGCTTCAGTATTCCATTCTCTCTTGGCTGCAGCGTCAATGATAGTCCTATATTTCATCTTCTCGACAGTCTTGCGCGATATGAAGAGCGTCGTCAGCTGATTCCAGATTTGAAGTATGTCGCGCAAGACGAAGTTTCCACGGATTCATTTGATGTTGCTGCTTTGATTGCACAAGCTGCGAATCAGAAGGAGTGGTCTGCTGGGCCAGATGGAATCTACAAGGTCTACTAGAACATCTTTATTTGATTTTGATCATTACATTGATCCTAGTTGTTTTTTTCTTCTTCAGGCTCATGTTTTATACCCCACCTCCACTTACAAGAAATTGGTTTTGTTGACAGGCTGGGTTTCATACAGTACTGTGGTTGCTCTCAGGGAAGGTCATGAAATGCTTGAGCCCATCACCCTCAGTCGTGAGATCATTGACGTCCCTTGTGATCCTCACTGCGACTGGAAAGAGATTGTTCTTTTCCGGATTATTGCAGGCCTTATTGATGAAAGCATTGAACTTTCAGCAAAGAGGTCCTAATGGATGTTCAAGCTACTGTCGCTATTTTTTAAGGTAGTTGTTACCTTGATATATCACTTATTTGACATCTCCTGTTATTCCGATGAATGTATTACATAACCTCTGTCCTTTATTTAAACTTCAAGATAGGACCAAGGTCCAGACCGAAAGGACGTTAGTAGTATCACACAGTAGCGGATTTGAGGTGGATTTGTGGGTGAATTTTGCTGTCAGACAAGATGGAGTCTGAATTCGTGTGATGAGACGCCCACACAAAAGATGCGATTGCGTGCGCCGCAACATATCCCATGGCTCCAGCTGCTGCCACTCCGAGAAAGAACAAGAAGGATCTTCCATTCACCCCTCTGAACAAGGGACTTTGGACTCGACAGCCCTTCAACCTTCATCATTCGATTGCTTTGTCATATCAAAAACTCAAAAAGTTGAAGGCGGATGTGACGCTGATTTGGAGTCAGCTTTAGCTCAAATCCAACTCCAGATATACCCCCAAATCCACCTCAAATCCGCTACTGTGTACTATCTGATAAACGACTCGAATGCATTTGACAATACCTGAAGGGTTCAGAAATTTCGAGAAATTTAGCCCACCCAGACCTCAAATCCGCAATTCTAGGACTTGGTGGATTTAGTAAAATTTTCCACGCTATTTAGCGAACAAGTATTAGGGAGAGCGGGGTCCTTCTTGTTGTATTGATAAATGTTTACTAAACATTTGATACATTCATTGGGAATAAAAATAACTGTTGCTCACTGAGTGGAAAATGTATTGTCGAAGCAAGATTGTATGAATATGAGAGAGTACAAGAAACATATCTTGGAAATGTAGCTCTCACGACACGGTCGCGCGAGTCGTTGCATTGCGCCATGGTTGACCGTACGGCCAAAGTGGTTTTGGTAATGGGCAACATCCCGTGGCTCTTGAGTAATTATATCATTGGCTCAAGATTTATGTTATATAGTTATCCAATACTCAATAGTGATGGAAACGTAACAATTACTTGTTATATCGAATACAGATCCACGAAGTATATACTTACAGAAATAAATTAGCATGAGGTAACATCCATAGCAGCCTCCAACTGCTTCAAACACGACATCCCACACGCGCCTCTCGTTAGATCCTTGACCAGCCGATACCGAAACGGCTTACCACACCCCGGCACCGCGCAAGTCGTCGGCCGCGGTAGTGGTCGTTGTTCAGACACCTCACTGTGCGGCGAAGATATCGTCTTCATCTCTTCAGTCGGTGGAAGCGCACACGTCGGGACAGAAAACGTGATTTGCATCTGCACACTGACATCCGCGGGCTTCTCACCATCTGCCATAGGTATGCGTGACGTCGAGACCCAGCGGTACATCGTCGGGATCTGAACCTCTCTCTCCGGAAGTTCCTCCTCGGCCTCCTCGTCCTCGACCATGGCATCATCATCTTCACCTTCGTCGTCGTATTGTTCTTCGTCTGCAACGGATTTTTTGAGATTCTTTTTCGGCCTGGAGGGGGTGCAGACTGAATTAGAATTGGAGCGCGTGATGTCGGCAGGGGCGATGTCATCTATGTCTGTGCGTTGGGCGGTATTCCGTTTCTTTCGGGGACGCGATTGTTTTTTGAGGAGGCGGTTGATAGTTTCAAGCTGTGCTAGGCGATTAGGGCGACAATTTAGACAAGTATGAATCTGCGTGAACACATGCCTTTTCGTCCTCGAGCTTCTTCTCAGTGAGGTTCTTACGTTTCCTCGCTGTCTCTTCCCGTCGAAGGGCGAGCTCTGATTCGTTAAGAGGCGCCTTCTTCTGTCGAGAGCTACCAAGCGAGACGTGAGATGGATCCATAACGTTAGCCAGGACAGCTTGTCTCGAAGTTAACGGCCGTTTTCTCGGCAGCTGAGAGTCCATAGAGTCTTCCGACTCAACCGTAGGCGTCTCATATCTGCTCGACGCATGTATCGCTGGCAACTTTAACCGAATCTTCAAATTCACCTTCGGAAGGTCGTCCGTGTCCGACTGAACCTCGTCTTCTTCCTCGTCTTCCTCATCTTCATCACCCTCTTCCTCCTCATCGTCCCCCTCTCCCTCAGCGACAGCCTCAATATCTACGTTCGAACCTTCCTCGTCATCAGGCTTATCCTCTATCATCCGTTCTTGTAGCCGTCTCCGGCGTCGATCGCGGCCCACCGTCTCGATATCCACATCCGAATCAAGCTGCATGTCTGAGCGCAACGCGCGTGCACGACGGGTACGAGTAATCATAGGCATGGTTCAAAGTCAAAGTCAAGTAAGGTAGTGCAGTGTATGTATGTAAGAGCTCCAAATCAGTCATTTCTTCGACATCATTTCCCAGGCTGACGATGGAGACCTTACCACTATTGGACTCCGGATCATTTGCTCGATAGTTGAACGTTGTTCCGCGGGATGACATCTGCAACTGAGCGAAATGGGTGTACTAAAAGAGTCAGGAGTCGAATGAGGCGGTACATGTTTGGGTCGGATAAGCGAGGAGAATTCGCGGTGGCGCAGGCGTCTGCACAACATTGTTAAACAGAAAGCGATTGGCTACACAAGGCAAAGATATTGCTGGTATTAAAGAACACAGTAAGTACCGCATTCTCATACATCATAATCAAGAATGGTCTTCACAGAAAAGGACAAAATCGTTCAAAAAGAAGAAGAAAGTATGCATTAAGGGGGAATCGAACCCCCGGCGGGTCGAAATTCAGACATATCATATCATGGCAACGACCCAGGTTACCACTACCCCATTAATGCTTGTTCAATGGAGGATTAACGTATATCTCCAATCTAAAGCTTTTTTTTTGGCTTTGCCCTTCCCTCGGGTCCCACTATGTTACATCTGTATTTCCATTTTTGTCGTATGTGAATTTACTTTCTTGACTCGGTAGGGGTAACAACATCAACTTCATCGTGAACAAGGTCAGATATCCAAAGTCTACTGAACAAGTCATACGAGACGTGGTCATCCACGCCAAAAGATCCAGTTTTGAAAACGCTGTTGATCGACAAGGAGGCTTTCGAAGAGCATACGAACCAAATTGGTAATCCTAATATCTAGAACACGGGGCAGCATTTGGATACATATCATGTACCAACAGTGCAGGTCACACTATTGTTGCTGATCATGAAAAGAAAACACTACATCACTCGGATTAAAGAGCATTAAAGATTAAAATGCATTAAGGGGGAATTGAACCCCCGGCGGGTCGAGACAGATCATGTTATGGCAACGACCCAGGTTACCACTACCCCATTAATGCTTGAAAAGTAAGGTATCCATGCATCCCAAAACAGGGTGATCAATGCTGAAGACATGCACACAAGCTTTGGGACCTGTTAGAGGGACCAGTTCTGAAAACGGTGCTGATCGACAAGGCAGATGAGGCCATTATCCCAATCAAAGAGCAATCATAGACGGTCGCCCTAAAGCCTAATACATAGCAAACATCTCACCAGCCTTTCAAACAGCAAAATTATACTTGACTCGCGCCCTCCACTCAACAAACGCCGGCCATAACCAATACAACAAATGACCCGCTCTCATAGTCGACGGCATGAACACAGTCCTCTCACCCGCATCTACAGCCTCGATACACCTTTTCGCTACATCCACACGCTTCAACCCATGCTTATTAGGATCGGTTTCGCGGACCGGGCCAGTATCGACGGCTGAGGCGCGGAAGTCGCCTTCGACGGTGGAGGGCAGAACGCAGGTGAATGCGATGGAAGGGTGTTCAATTGAGAGGGCTTGGTAGAGGACGAGCGACGCGGCTTTTGTTGAGGCGTAGAGGGTGCGTGTCGGCGGGGGGATTACCGCGGCGAGAGAGGAGATAAGAAGGATTGACGGGGATGAGGAAGAGGATATAAGGAGGGGGATCTGTGGGTTACGATGATACATTTAGGGTCAATAAGTGGAGTTGTGGCGGAACGCACAAAGGTGACAGCAGCAATGAGGGGCCCGGTGTAGTTTCCACGTGTTGCGGCCACAGAGATTTCTGCGGCGCGTTTGATTCCATCGATCGAGGCTTGGGAGGGTGTGAATGAGGTTCCGCTGGGATCTGCTTCGATACCTGCGATGGCCATGAGAGGTTGAAGAGCCGACACGCCTGCTGCGACTATTAGTGTATCCACGCCCTGCCATTCTGTGATTCCAGTTCATAAGAATTAATGCTGAAGAAGAGGAAGAGAAACTCACCTTTCTGTAACGTCTCTCTTAGCTTCACCATATCTTCCACCTTCGCAAAATCGGCGACGACGCCAAGTACACGTGTCGGCGATTTTATGCTGCTAACGGCCCTACACTCCTCTACGACCACCGCGATCTTGTCTGTCCGTCGACCGACTACACACACACGTGCACCACGCTCCGCATACTGTTTCGCAATGCTTTCGCCGATTCCACTAGACCCACCGAGAACAAGAACACGTTCTTCATTTTCGAGGACTTTGAGGGTACGCAGAGTAAGTGAACGCAGATAGAGACGTCTGAGCGTGAGAACAATGGGCGCAAGAGCAAGAATGGCGAGGCCTTGTCGACTTATTCCGGATCCAGGGGTCATCGAAAAAGAGCAAGTGAAATTAGAAAGTGGCCGTTGACCATGCACAACACATTACGGTAGAGGCTGATAAGTCACAAACTCGGCTTCGTGACGATTTATTTGGTAACGTCGGAAAATATTCCGCTTCACGGACCGGAAGAATAGAGACTTCCACTTCAACTGCCTCTCGAAACCAAAGATTGTGTTATCGGACGGTTTGGACAGCATATTGATGGATATGGTAGACGGAATCAGAGGTGGTCAACCCGACATTTATATGGGCAGATTGTACACATGTAATCATATAATAAATTACGTCAGATGAAAATTCGGTAAGAATACAAACTTCGAGATACTCTTCATCTGAGTACATACGAGTCCTTAAGCCCACGGCATGAACACTCCTGTTCATTGTGGGCCATGCAGATTTCGATTTACTTGCGTGTCGAGTGTCGACGATCCGATGCTGTTATGCATATTTAACCTCAGGGCAGCGCCAATGATCATGCAAATGTCAGTAAGGAAGATCTGCCATACTTATCCGTAAATTCTCATTGACGACTACCTTCCGGCATGCTTACGAACGGGATTTGTGTCGTATGAAGGAGAGTTTGATTGCGGTTACACATCGGCCGGGCTAAAGTCAGCACCTCAGCTTTCTTGCCTCTGGTTAAGTGCATGTCATTTTCGGATTGAAACGAATCAACCTGGGCCGCCCACCTGATTATCGTTTCTCTCATACCAAAGCTACATACCCCGAAATTCGTGGAAGGGCACTTATTGGATTGTGTTGTGATTTGTCAGCTCGAAACGACCCTTGAGAAGGAATTCGGCACTGATGTTCAGAATTCCCATATCAAGTTCTTCTCCACCCAGACAGCGTGCACTGCTAGCGATACGGACACATTTCCAATCAGCAGACTCGATAACCCCTTCCAGCTGCTCCCTCAATACTTCTTGCTCTTGATCCATTGCTCACATTTCACATAAACATGCTCTTGAACCGGAGTGATGGAGTAACTCGTGATCCATTCTTAACTAGGGTCCCTTGACGTTAACTACCTGTGCATCGATATCAACTTGTATGACTCCACTACATCATACCTCTTCGAGGGTATCTTTCCCTTTGACCATCACACCAAAAACCAAGATGCCGTACAAACCGCTGAATGAGCTCATCGAACAGGATATTCATGTTATACCCTCGTTCACGCTCGAGTGCGGTGCGGTGCTTAAGGATGCGCCTGTTGCGTACAAGACGTGGGGTCGCCTGAATACTGCGAGGGATAATACCATGATTATTTGCCATGCGCTCACTGGGAGCGCTGACGTGCAGGACTGGCAAGCCCCGCTTCGTTGGTACACATACCTAGATAGTCTCTGACCTCGGTATGGTTATTTGAATCACAGGTGGGGCCTAATGATGGGAAGAGGGAAAGCGTTCGATCCCGCGCGCTTCTTTATCATTTGCCTCAACGTCCTGGGCTCTCCCTACGGCACAGCATCACCTCTTACAATGAATCCTGAGACAGGCAGACCATATGGACCCGATTTCCCACCAACCACTATTCGTGATGATATTAGGTTAGTCTTTCTTACGCAAGAAACTCACTAAAAATAAATTCGTGCCTGCTCTAGGATACACAAGCTCGTGCTTGACCGCCTTAATATCTCCTCTATTGCGGCGGTGATCGGTGGTTCCATGGGCGGTATGCACGTCCTTGAATGGCCGCTATGCACACCTCCAGGCTATGTGCGGCACATCGTGCCTCTTGCAACGTCCGTCTCACATTCTGCATGGTGCATCGCCTGGGGTGAGGCACAACGCCAGGCTCTGTGCGCAGATCCTACCTTCAATGATGGGTGGTACGATGAGCAACCCCGAGCAGGCCTCGCAGCAGCGCGGGTGTGTGCTATGCTCACGTACAGGTCACGGACGAGTTTTGGGCTTAAATTTGGACGGAGGAAGCAGGTCCAGAAGCTGGAATCAGCGCCAAAGAAGGTTGAGAAAGTCGAAGATGTCGATGCGTTAACACCCCCGCCGTCTCCCCTTGTCAATGCTTCGAGGGAGCTTGAAACACCTGCACATATATCTTCTCCTGATGATAGCACCTCGATCACGCCCATCGATACATCTACAATCCCCAGACGCACAGAAACATCCTCGTCATTCTCACCCACACCTACACCGGCCCTACGCCGGCAAGAACCAAGCCCGCCGGTGCCCATATTCTCAGCACAATCATACCTCCGCTACCAGGGCCAGAAATTCCTTGCGCGCTTCGACGCAAACTGTTTTATTCATATCACACATAAAATGGACACGCACGACATTGCCCGCGGGCGACCCGCTCCTCCCACCTCCCTCTGTACCTGCGCGCGCCCTGCTTCACCCGCATCCTCATCGTGCTCCTCATCCTCATCCGAGTGTGGCTGCGCCTCTTATCCTTCTTCTTCCCCCGACATCGACGTCGACCCAGAACTCGACGCGGACCCTGACACGCGCTGCGCCCTCGCTCGCCTACCTCCACGCGCACTAGTAATAGGCATCTCCTCAGACAACCTTTTCGTTCCTGCGGAACAAAGACTGATCGCAGCTCACATCCCCGGCGCGAGTTGCGTCCTACTTGATTCGATTGATGGCCATGATGGGTTCTTGCTTGAGTTTGAGGCGATGAACAGACATATTCTGGAGTTTTTGAGGAGGGAAGAGCCGGGGATTTATGTGGGGGAAGTGAAGGAGGAGATTGAGGGATTTGAAGTTAGGAAGACGAGTGTGTTTGGGGAGGCGGAAGTTGAAGGTGAAATTCCCGGATGAGGAACTCCCGGGGCGGTTGCGGCCATTTCCTTAGGCTGGAGTCATTAGTAAAAGAGTTTGTCAAGACTCGATACCGATTTCAGTCCTATCCATGTGTATAGCATCCATATGTACGGCATCGCGGTGTCGCGCACAGTTACAAATATTGATATCTGGACGCTTCCACGGAAATCCATTATTTGTAAAATTCAATCGGCCAAGGTAGGCTAGACCGTCTGCTAATGACCTCGGATCTTGCTATGAATGTCTCCCAGAAACCTAACCCTAAACACTGGTTTCCTTCCAACTTGAACCACCATGTTCTTGCGCCTCCTCAGGCGCCCTGGTACCGTTCGATGCGCATACTTCCACTCCAGTACCCCATTTTGGGCTATACGTAAGGTCGTCCACAAGTTCAAGCTCGCAGATATCGGTGAAGGTATCACAGAATGCGAGATCATTAAATGGTGCGTGTTCGAAGCTCCGGCCGGACCAATATCTCGCATTGAACTAATAATATCTTAGGTCGATTGCACCGTCTGCGACTATCCAAGCTTTCGACCCGCTTTGTGAGGTCCAGAGCGACAAGGCTAGTGTGGAGATTACGAGTCCATACGATGGAATTGTGAAGCAGTTGCTTGTGCAAGAGGGAGAAGTCGCTAAAGTTGGGTCTGGACTATGTTTGATTGAAGTAGAGGAAGAAGACACTAGCTCGAATGAGTCAAAACCCACTTCTGAGACTTCACCTGTTCACAGTAATCAAGTATCGGGTTCACCATCACCTATGGACGCACATGTATCTTCAAGCCCAAAGGTGGAGTCTTCTCGCCGACTTCATCCCTTAGACCCCAACTTTGCTCTTTCCCAAGGCTCAGCTACTGCAGACTCGGTCCTCGCTGCTCCGTCTGTGCGTCATCATGCACGT